AAAGATAAAGATAAAGATAGTTTATTTGCAAATATGGGTAATACAATATGTGGTGTTTAGGTACATTGCGAGCTCAACCATATTTTACCAGGAGGCATGCAAATATGAATTAACAGATAATTAAAAGAATAAAATTATATAAAATAAAATCAATATTATGCAATGTACTTATTAAATTGATTACAGAAATTAAAATAGTCGCATTAACAAAATATAGGTACGATGTCAAAAGATTAAAGTTAAGAAATGTCATAGTAAAATAGATGAGATGTCCAAGTTATTTAGTACCTATTTAAAATATTATTCTATTCCATTGTCCATTAGAAAATCTGCAACATTGTAATATGCCTTGTCAACTAATAATTTTCTCAATTTGTTTTTTAATATTGACATACTCAAATTTCTCCAGGATTTAGGTAATTTATTAAAGATTTTAGGTGCCATGCAACAGACACTTTTGCCCATTAGTGTTGTCTTCGCTCTTTGAAGACATAGTTGACTATCGTCTCGTCTACTTCGTGCTACTACGTCGTTCATTTTCTTAAAATAATGTGGATTTGACTTGACAAACATAGCCATTTCCATTATATAAATACACGGTAATGTTAAAATGTTAAGTTCTTTAAAATACGGGTAACAACTATCAGTAGTGTTTAGTTTATACATTGACCGAATGCACCTTTTTTGGGCCTTGAATGCCATATCTTTGTCGGTTGAATTACCCCAGAATATAACCCCGTAACGAAGATGGGATTCAGCTAAACCGTAGTAGGCGGTAAGAAGCGCTTCCTTAGAAACCTTCAACGATAATGCATGTAAGGCATATGCGGATTTACTTAGTTTCTTGCAAACCTTGACTACATGTGATTTCCAGTTCAGATTTTGATCTATTTCCAAACCCAAAAATTTAGTGCTTGCAACTTTATCCACTACTTTATTGTTATAATTCACGTTGAGGTTTTTACTGGGTATTCTTTGGCTAAAATGCATTACGCTTGTTTTTGTTAGATTAATTTTTAAGTTATTGTTATTTAACCATGTTATGACTGTCGCTAGAGCATTATTAATATCATTTTCATATAATTTAGGATCAATGCAGGGTATAGTTATGGTACTATCGTCGGCAAACAGAGTTAATGGTTGACCAACGTGTTTCGGAAGGTCATTTATATACAATATAAAAAGTAACGGCCCCAGAACGCTCCCCTGTGGTACTCCGTATCTAACTTCACGTTCAGACGACCGAAAAGTTTCTTCGTAATTATTTTCATTCTACATATTTCAGTTATTTGTTTTCTGTTACGTAAATAAGATTCTATTAAGCTTAGAGTGTTCCCTCTAATACCATAGATTGATTTGAAATGTCGCGTGACGTCACTTCTTTGTACATTTTATACGTAGAAATGACGTTCTAGCACCCACTCCTAAACTTTGATTCGTTTTATCTAAGTTTTGTTTTATTATACGAAAAATAAAAAATTACGTGTCCGATATTTTTTCATTACCTAACTTACGGACTAATTAGTTTTTTAATTTTCATACCTTGTCATCATCCCAATTATTAATTTCGGCCATTAATCATATTATGACTAACCCTACTAGGTGATTTATAGGTAATGTGTAGAAGTGAGAGATAAAGCAGAAGGTGAGGCGCTCAGCACAGGACTTACCAGAGGCAGTCCAGCATGATAAAGACATGCACGTGGCGCCCGCGGGGCCGCACTCACCTGGAACAAGATAATTATATCAACATCAATTTGCCCACAACTTGTAATAATGACAGCGAATAAATAATTTAGGGAAATCTTTGGATAAAAGCATCCTGCCTGAGTACGTCTCCTGGTTCTAAGCTGCCTCCCACCAATATTCATCCAAATCGATGTAGCCGTTCTTGTGTTATAAACAAACTAACACGACTTTCTTTTATACAGGGTGTACAGTGTCAGTAAATAGTGCACCATTTTGTGCGGGGAGATAGCTTCCCAGCTAGTAGCAGTAGTCCCCTACACTTATTTAAACAACCCACGATAATTATTTTTAGCGAAACTATACGGTTTTCAAAGTTATACCACACTTTGGCAAATATCGATAGTACTCAATATTCGTAAATGAGAATGTACTATTATTATACCTTTCAAAAAACACCATAAATCGCTTGTCTGTTGGCATATGAGACACAATAAAAACACATTGTCTCGCGTAGATCTACGTTCGGCATACCACGGGTTCAACGAGGTAGTTTATACGCTTGTTGTATTTGTACAACTGCCACATAGAGGTACATTTTTTGTTACTGCTGTAAGTTAAAGTTGAGCGAGAATAAAATTATTCTACGTAATCTGACACATAAAGTAGTTTTTCCTAAAAACATGTACACAAAGTACACAAATTGGTCACATTTCACATAATGTATAAAACATATGTGTAAACTCGTCACAGGTTCATGAGGGTTATTGTAAATTTGTCACAAATCCTCAATTCACTAATGTTTTTCTTTAAAATATTTTTTGAAATAGATAGTTTTTATACTTATAAATCGTATTCTTTTTATATAGTTATAGACAAGTCAGCCACTCAAAATCTGTGATTTTTACTTAGGTCAAGGAAAAAACGTGATTATAACTGTGATGTAATTATTTTTCTTATAATTGTGTTATATATTTTTTTATAGTGTAAGCCGGTAAACGAGCAGACGCATCACCTGATGGTAAGCAATCGGCGCCGCCCATGGACACCTGGAACACCAAGGCGTTTCAAGTGCGTTACCGGCCTTTTGGGGATTAGGAGTTTGAGGATCGTTGGGGATTCAGGAATTGGGGAGATTGGGGAAGGGGAGGGTAATTGGGCCTCCGGTAACCTCACTCACACGACGAAACACAAGGCAAGCGTTGCTTCACGTCGGTTTTCTGCTCGGCCGTAGTATCACTCCGGTCGAGCCGGCCCATTCGTGCCGAAGCATGGCTCTCCAACACCAATAACAATATTGTTCGTAAATCAGCCACTCTTCAATTTTTATGTAGATTTTAGGTTAATTAAAGACTTTTAACTGTTTTTCTTATTATTTGTAACTAGCGACCCGCCCCGGCTTCGCACGGGTGCAATATGTACCTATATACATACAAACCTTCCTTAAGAATCACTCTATCTATTAAAAAAAACCGCATCAAAATCCGTTGCGTAGTTTTAAAGATCTAAGCATACATACGGACATACAGCGAAAGCGACTTTGTTTTATACTATGTATTGATGTTACGGCCATGCCAGCCACTTGAGAACTATGACTTTTACTTAGATGTTAGGTTAGACATTTATTTATATTGTTGGAGACAAGTCAGCAAGTCGAGATGTGTGATTCTTTATAAATGTTATGTTAAATTAAAAATAATGTTTTCCTATTGTCTATCTAATTATTGTTAGGTTTTAGGCAAATCGTTTACTCGAGAACTGTGATTGTTGTTATGTAGATGTACAAGGTAAATTATTAAACTTGATGTGATTCTGAAAAATATACAACCCGCGGCTTCGCTCGCGTCACAAAAGGATAAAAGTAGCCTATGTGACATATACCAATACACACAGCGCCATCTATACCAATTCTTTTGTTTTCCCTCGTACTTCCGGACTTCTAACTTTAGGTATGTACAACAACCCACTGAAAATGTGAAACAATTTTTAAACCGTTTCTACGTTTTCGCTGAACATATATTGGATTGTTTAGGTAGGTATGACTCAGGTATCTCCTCTCACAGTATGGTGCACTATTTACTGAACAACCAGTATATGTATTATTTCATACAGGTGTCCGAATTAATGGATAACCTTTGACATCTTTTTTTTAAAGGAAAGTCGATTTTTTATTACTACTACTAACTATCCTGATCGTGTTGTTTTATTACATTATACACTGACTGTGCTGTTAAATAGAAAGTAAATAGTATGACTAGCTAATGTACAGTCCTTTTGTAAAACTATTTAAGTCTGGTGAATGCGTGATGATGATGCGGGAAACAGGTAACAATATCAATTTAAAATAAATTATTGGACCGGTATATTAACTCGTCGAGTACCGGTTTTGTAGACACAATTATAGAACAATAGGTTGCGGTCACCGGTGACCGCTTGGTGTTTGACAGTTTAAATGGAATAATAGAATTAAAAAATATTTATATAACTCGAAAACTATTCAAAATCTTAGAACATTCATGGGGGTGATTTAGACTCCCCGGCCACCCTGTATACAAGAATTGCTCGTTTAAAGGTAGTCAGACAGATATACGAATAAATATACGGTATTGTGTGTACGAGTGACTGCGACATCTGTCCGAATTCCCATATTAATGAAGCTGTATTATTTGCTTTGAGCTGTAGTTGAGTGAGCTGTTGCATCCATGCATCATAAACTGCCTTAAACTGGTTGTTCGGTATTGGTTTGAGGAGGGTCCAGTAGATGTACTGCACCACGTTGTTGTGTCTCTTGGTGTAATAGGTTCGAACCCCGCCATAATATTGTGTTGGTTGACAAAGTCCCATAGTCCTCCACGTCGAACGACAACTCGCCACCTCCAACCACTGGCACCCCGGGACTCTGGCGATGGTGCATGGTAAGAGAGAGCCAATGGCCTAAACAGCAAGTTTAGTTGTGGGTGTGACTCGCGCACATGACACTGTTAGTAGGTCACACTAATGTTATGTCTCAATACTTGTTGGCATTGAAACCAGTTTGATGTGTGGTGTTAACTGTATTCTGTATTGTACTGTATTATGTATTCATATAAAATAATCATCTTTTAGAAATTCATCAAGAAGTTCTTGATGAAACTCGCTCCCAACCGACATTTTATTACTAAACCACACGTCAAAAAGCATAGAGTCACTTTTGGCATGCCAAGAGGTAGTTTTCAGACCATTAGCACAGAACAACCATATGCCATCAGATATTTTAAAGAATATGTCTAACTCGCAAGAACAATACGACCGCTAAGATTAGACAGAGATAGATATATAAACAACTAGCTACTTCCGCGCGGTTTCACCCGCGGGGATAGATTGTGATCAAGAATAACACATAGGCTACTTTTATAACCACGGGATCGCGGGCGGTTGCCAGAATATTCCAGTGTTCCTTAAACAATCTTTATTATTTTAGTAACTTTTTTTATTAGCTAACATAATTATTTTCCTACGAATGTGGTAGAAATCAGATTTTATTTTGACAACACTAATTAGTTAATTGTTATTTTACTAGTTCCGAAAGTTTACATTATGTGTATTTGTAAAACTTGCCTTGAGACTCTGTAAGTGTAAACAATGCCTAAATAACTAGTCTAAATATGTCTGTTCTTAAAAACCAGAAACACATTAATGCTTTTTGTTAAAAGCCTTAAAACAGGGTGACCCTCATCTTGTTTTAAGTAGTGTATTAAATATTGATTTCAAAATTAATTATAATTAGTAATCCAACAAATATTATGAATGCGAAACTTTGTATGATCATTGCGGTCACAATCCAAAAGCATTGAATTCTAATGTGTACTATCGAATGATCTGTGAAGAAGATGCAGGTCAAAAGTAATCTTCGAGTACAGTCCGTGCGCTGAGTTCACTGGTTATAATAATATATTAATACTATAATATATTATTATAATATATAACTATTTTAATTGCTCAATTATATCGTTGCTTGCTTCTTGCTCACACCATTGACTTCTCTGCATCACCCAAAGGTCAGACTGGGAGAAAATGCCTGCGGCATTAAGTCCACCTTATGTACACACTGTGCATGAAGCTTAAATAATTAAATAAATAATAAGCTTCAACCCGGTGTCGTGGGGGTTGGATCAAAAAATACCCGTTCTTTTGGGAATGGCCTATAATTTTACAATGATGCATACAAATTTGCTCTTCTTGTCAGTTGCTGGAGTTATTTACACCTTTGATCCGTTTATGCCGCAAAATAAATTGGCCGAGTCGATAAGTACCTACTTGGGAGTATAAAGGATAACATTGCTGACAATATAACTATTTACGCCATTTTTCCGGACTTCAAAGTGAAGGAGGTACTATAAGTCTTGTTTTATTTGAAAGGTCATACTCCCGAGAATGAAATCCTAGAGTAACGGAGGGGAACTTTCGAAAATTGTAGGAGCGAAGAATGCGTCATTTATGTTTTTGAATAAAGATTTTTGAACAGTATCATAGGGGTCTGGAGTCGACCTGCTGGCTTTATTAATTCGTATTGATGAGAACTTTACACCTACACAGACTGGGACTGTCATTAAGGGTCTGATGATGAAGAAGTGTAATTGTTGAGGGAACTCTTCAACGGTTTACATTAACTACCTTTCGGCTTATACAATTTGTTTTGATAAGAACTCTACACCTATGTGGATTATAAGTAGCAAACGGGTCTATGCAGTTGGCCACTAAAACAAAACTACGTTTAAAAACCAACAACTAAAAGCAAAACATAACTATTATTAGTACTGATAAGTTAGAAATTTGGCCTCAACGGACAGAAATGAAATACTACTACTACTAAAAAATACGAATTCAAGTTTAACGAAAATATTTTGTTCATGGATTTCTCTCTTTAGATTGCTGTCGATCTCTTTGCATACTTTAATGTTAATAATCATGATAACAAAAATATTAAATGTCAGTGATCCATTGGTTCTGTAAACTCACATGTAAGAAATAAGACAGATGAAACAGATTTCTAACCCACCACTTTCCAAAAACGGGGTAGAAGTTTATTTGGAACATTTCGCAATTTTCAAGGTTCCCGCAGAAAACTCGTGAACCATTTCTTTTCTTTTGTGAACTCGACCCCAATCCTTAAAAAGACCGTGACCGAATCCGTGGACAGAAGCTAGTAATTAATAAAATGTATTTAGTTCATGCAATTCATATTTTTCCTTAAAATCCCTGATCCTGATGCAGCTAAATAAGTACTACCACTATTATTACAACATTTTGCTTTCAACAGTTTTGTATTGGGTCAACGTTTTTTGATAGTTTACTCACAATCACAATCTTATTTTCAGTCGGTTTACATTATTGGGAAGAAGGGGAAAACGGAACTAATATCTTATCCGGCCCAACTGTCAACCTCACCTGCACGCACTGCGGCGACAATAAGTGGTTATTGGGTGCTCCCTGCTAGATAACGGACGAGGACGAAACCGAGTCGATGGCGGTATAACCATCTCCCGATCAAAACTGTTTGGAAGAGGCTACAGCAGCTTTCGAGGTACAAATAACTTTTAAAAGGTCTGGTGCACAAGGCAACGGGAGACCACTGCACTATTATCCCAAGAAACCCTATAAAAGAGATACTCATCAGGCACAGTGTGGACTTGATGCTACTGGTGATGTAATAACAAGCTATCGTATGCAGCTACACAAGAAAATGAGGCTCGGAACTTGGAATATTAGAGGCATGATTCATCCAGGGAAAAAGGAAATCATAGAAAGAGAGCAAACATTATATAACGTCGGAATGCTTGGACTTACGGAAAATCACATGAGAGGATCAGGAATTTTTTTCCTGATATCAGGTTACACTGTGTATTTCTCTGGCCCCATCAACAAAAGTAGAAATTGTGTAGCGCTATTGGTGTCGCGTGAGATGAGTAGATCAGTTCTGGGATATGTGGCGACACATGTCACATGTCAACGGATGACGTCAAAAAATCCTACATCGCACATGCAAAGTTTACATGCGGATGCAACACGGATAGAAAATCCCAACGAACTGTTGGGCAGAAAGCCCGCCAGGCACGATCACCTCGCCTGGTCGGAGGATCCTCCTTTTCCGATCTTAGAGAACTGTACTCGCTGTTCCCTAAATACCTTTAAAATATTAATTCTTATATAATTATATCAACGATCTCCGAAACGCCTCCAAATCTCAAGCTCAAATTCTGTATTTACGCGGTTTCGCTCGAAGTAAATCTTAGTAGGTAAATGTCTTTTTATAATGGCATAAGATGGTAAACGAGCCGACGGATCACCTGATACTCTCTGTTCCCTAAAGATACAACCCACTATTCGGTGGGTATATCCCACCCACAGCCTGTATGGGTGCAGAAATATAGGCATTTTATAATAACTTCGATGACACACTAAAAAGCCTACCGAACAGGGACTTTTTTTATGGAATAGGAGGCAGACGAGCAGGCGGATCACCTGATGGTAAGCGATCAGCGCCGCCCATGGACACCCGCAACACCAAAGGAGACAATCGTACTAGGAGATCTAAACGCAAAAGTAGGTAATACTTCAAAAGAAGACCATCTTAGAGAAGTAGTCGGTAAATACGGTCTCGGTGATAGGAATGACAGGATAGAGATGTGCCTACAGTTCTGCACCGAGAACTCGCTTACAATCATTGATTCCTGTTTCAAGAACCACTCAAGGAAACTGTATACGTGGGTAATGCCAGGTGATCGAGCTCGAAACTAGATAGTTTATATAGCTATCACTAAAGCGTGGAGATCGTGTATTAGCAGCACCAGAACGTATCCAGGAGCGGACTGTGGCAGCGACCATAAACTTCTTATAGGCGAACTTGAAACTCAAGCGATACAAGCAAACAATTGGATCACAACAACAACAATGAAACGACCAAATCAAGGACTAAATACATTTGTCAATGGTTTAAAAAAAAGAAGCAGTCAATCTTAACATAGATCAGCAGGATGATGTCGACACTAACTGGACAAACATTTTAAAATCTTATTCACATCGCGCAAAAAGAGTCAAAAAGGAGTGAGGCCGTTAAACCGAGAAAGGCGTGGATTAATTACAGAGGAGACATGGACGGTCGTAAAAGAACGCTAGGAACTCCTCAAAGGACAAAGATCGTGACCGACCAGAATATCAGGTAGTGTCATCCAAAGTCCAACGACTAAGCCGCAAGGACTACGATGAACTCGATTTGCCGAGACATCGAAGACCATGCGGTTCAATCGAAGGACATATTTCTAAAAATTAAATGTTTTACTCGTAACTTTAACGCTAGAACATGGGCCATTAAAACTGACGAAGGCAGACTACTAACAGAAATTGACCAAGTCACATATAGATGGCGTACGTACTGTGAAAGTCTATACAAAACCCCACCTTCTGAGAACATTTTTCAAATGAAAAACAATGTCACATTAAAACAATAATGTCAAATTGCATATAAAAAAGAAATGTAACTATATGTTACAAACATGTGTGAACATGACCTGTGTGGACGTTACAGCAGCTGATTCCCAAGCCAGACTATCATCTAGAGGTAGATAGTCTTTTATTTTATAGAAAGCTTTACTATAAAATTTATTTTTAATGGAATTTTTAAATTTATTTAGACTCAAATTTTGGTATGGCTGGGAGTTTTATTGTAAAAGCGTATACTCTGACATCAAAACGAACCACTCATCTTCTTTAGCCTAGTAGTGGGAACAACATATTTGTCTTTATTTCTCGTGTTGATATTATGTATATCACTATGCTTTTTAAATAAACTTTTGTTTTTATGAGCATATATTACATTTTCATAAATGTATTGAGAGGCAACAGTCATTATATTAATTTCTTTAAATAGTTCCCTGAGAGAATACCTCGGACTAATGAGAGAAGGTTAGAGCATTAATCACCACGCTTGCATAATGCGGGTTGGCGATTTCAAACTTATAATTAGAAATTATAAGCCCAGGTTTCCTCACGATGTTTTCCTTCACCGTTGGTCAGTGATGTCTAAATAATCTTAGAAAGTACATACAACTTGGAAAAAGTCACATTGGTCCTTGCCGTTGGTAGGTTTCGAACTCGCACCCTCGTGCATGAGAAGTAGGCGTCTTCAACCTCTAGTTAGACTAGTTCAGATATTTGTCTTCCCTATTTTCCTCTATGGTGCAGAATCGTGGACGAGAGCTCTAAATCGCAAAAAGGTAAATGCTCTAAATGTGGTGTAGGCGAAGAATGCTCCGGATACCATGGACTGCCAGACGAACAAATAGGTCAATCCTGGAACAGCTTAATATAAAGACTAGACTGTCGACCGAATGTTACCAGCGAATTCTTGCATATTTTTGACAAATTGGTTGTTGTTGGTAAGGTGGAAGGAAAAAGACCACGTGGCTTTGCCGATGACTTAGTCGATGGTGTGAGCAAGTTACCAATTACACTGGACCTTTTGTTACGAAAGCCCCAAGAGAAGCCGAAAAGACGGAGGAAAGTAACACAAAGAGCAACTGGAAACAACAATGAAAGCCTTCAAGGGCACGACCTTTAGAAGTGAACCAAGCGAGCGAGAAGAAGATATAATCGGAATTTTAGTATATTAGTGTAGTAACAATATTAGTATATTAGTGTAGAAGTGTAGATGATCAATATTTATAGTAGTGAATCAATATTTATTCTACAAAAGCGGGCTATCCGCGCAATATATAACTTACGCCGGCGCCGTTGCGAATCGCTGAGAGAATTGTTTAAAACGATAAATATTTTAACGGTGCCCTGTCAATATATTAAACTGTCAAACACCAAGCGGTCACCGGTGACCGCAACCTATTGTTCTATGTATATGAAAATATAATGTATGTAAGGAAAAATAGGCAATTGTTTGAAAAATGAAAGCGATAGACACAATTTTAATACTAGAGGCAAAAATAAGTTATCTATACCGCAATTCAGACTGTCCAAAGTACAGAAATCCTTTATGGGGTTAGGTATTAAATGCTATAATAAAATACCAAATAGCATACTAGATCTCAATGAAATTGTATTTAAAACATATATTAAGCGCGAATTATGTAATCAAGCTTACTACACACTGACAGTTTATCTTGAAGATAAGAATGCTTGGCAGCATGTTGGTTCGACTCCACTGGACAATACTCAAATGTAGTCAGTAGTTAAATTCCAATAGTAGGTAATAATACATAATTTTATACTTTAATTCTAATGTAGACAATCTAGTTTCCTTATGGCATCGAGCATTTCTTTCTTTATTGAAACAAAGAGTTTCCTTTTTCTTGTATAGAAGCACTATTTCTATGGATTGTCAGTATGCGTATGTGAGCACCATGTTAGACTTGAGATTTTTATTTTTTTTATTTTTAGTAAGTTATTAGTATAATGCGTCAAGCGTGTCTTTGCATTGTTCTTACATATGCGTACAGTATTGAAATATGAATCAGAGACATTGGAGAACATACTTTTTTAAAAACAGTAACAATTGGAGTTTCTTCTTCTTCTCCATTCTAATCTACATTTTGGAATGAGCACCTAGCTTCACCTAATTTCACTGACGGACTGACTGACAGACTATTATTTATTTTGTATTTGTTGACGTTTCAAAAGTACCAAACTATGGTTTAATTGAAATAAATGCTTTGACTTTGACTTTGATGTAGACGAAAAGAAATACCAACAATAATGAAATAGCAACGTATTCTTCGGAAAGAAACAGATTTCAATTAATAGTTTCATCGAGGTAGTTAAAAAGTAAATATATATGTACATGTAGACACTGGAAACTCCCTATTCTCTCCCAATGGATAGTAATAGGTATCAGATACCTAATTGACCGTTGAATCTGTATTAAGTACTACCGCGTCGTATTCTTAACAATGTGTTTTTTAGCAAGCTGCGAACATGTTGGGCACTTACGTACAATGGTGAGCGAGCGAGCATGCGACTCACCTGGAACAATAATATTTAGATAGGTTACACGATGAATGATAATAATTTTAAAGTTGGTACTTAGGTTTAACGAAACACTTCAATAATTGCACGACTGCACGGTTGGTGCGGTGGCTGGGCAACCGGCTGCCGCACAACGTGTCGCGGGTTCAATTTCCACACGGAACAACTCTTTGAATGATCCACAAATTGTTGTTTCGGGTCTGGGTGTCATGTGTACTTGTATGTCTGTAAAGACACCCACGATAAGGTATCGACTACCAACCCAGTGGAATACGAGAGGTGACGCTTGTTTTAAAAATTAGTAAATTCAAATTTAATTTATAAGCGACTGAAATTTTTTTGGTGATAGTTCTTCCTCTTCTTTCAGTCTTTTAGAAGGCTTACTACGAGTTTGTTTTACGTTAAAAGTAATCGAAACGAGACCGTGTTCGGTGATTGGTGGGTTTGTTGGAGCCGGAGACGAGTGGAACGAGGGTAAAGAGGCTTTTGCCCTAGAGTGGGAGTCATCCCACATCACACCTCAAAATAAATAAATAAATGGTCACATTTATTTATTTATTTTTGCCAAGGTCGTCCCACTGCAGTGGAAAGGCCTCTCTACCCTCCTTCTATTCGTCTCTTCTTATAGCTTTCTGTAGCCATTCTTTTTCATAGACGTTCATCAAGCCATCACCATCTGGGCCTACCGCGACGTCTAAAATAAGACATAATACTCTTTAATTACCGTGACTATGTGTTATCCACGAAAAAGTACATCCTGTGCCAATCTTTTGACTCATGATGCAATAAATCTTTATCGTCTGTATTTTTGAATAGAACTGAATAATATGGAATCATAACTTCAGAGCCAACTGCGTTAGTTTGGAAGAGGATGAACATTTTGCCAAACCATGACTATATAATTTTAACTAGTAGCTATTTCCGCGCGGTGTCACCCGGCCAGCTCGGTTACTATGGATCGTAGCATGATTGATCGTAGTTTAGGCCTGTAGCCATTCTCGATAAGTGGGCGATCCAACACAGGAAGAATTTTTCGACCAATACTTCCTGAGATTAGCGCGTTTAAACATAGAAACAAAAACACTCTTAAGCTCTCTTAACAAAAATACATAATAAATAGCTGCTGCCCGCGACTTCTGTCAGAATTTGGGTGTTTAAGTCCGTCTTTTCAAAGTAATATTCTACGGTTGTAATAAATGTAATTGGAGTCGATTCTGTACCTAAGTTAGATTTATTGTGAAATGATTTAACGTTTGTGTTGTCAAAAAATAAACAATACAACAGGGATTTTACCCGTACAGTGCCCGCTGCCGTAAGCTTTTAATGATAAAAAACTCTTCGAGTTTTGTTCGAGTCTAACAATATCAATCTCACTCAAGTTCAGTGGTTTAAAAAATAGAGTCCCCGGGCTTTAACACATAGTTCCCGTTGCCGTGCGTGGGGATGAAAACTATCATATAACGATATATATATATATATATATATATAGAGATATATAAAATCGAATTTCACTCATATAGATTCAACGGTTCAAAAGATAGAAAGTCCCAGGATTTTAACAGTTACCGTTTCCTGGGTCGCAAGTAGGGCTTCCAATTGCAGCGGTAAGTCCCCTCTTTGAGGAGTGGCTTGAAAGACGCTACGGCGTCCTCACCTACCGCCTGACGCAGGTCCTCACCGGACATGGCAGTTTCGGGAGGTACCTGTGTCTGATGGGGCGGGAGGAAACGTCCGGGTGTCATCACTGCGAGGACCGCCCTGAGGACACGGTGGAACACACTGTAGCGGAATGCCCTGCGCGGGGCTGAGCACCGCCGTGTCCTCAGGGAAGTGATCGGCGATGGCGACCTCTCGCGTCCGGGCCTAGTGCAGGCCATGATGCGGAGCGAGGGGGATTGGGATGCCGTCTCCTCCTTTTGCGAAGCAGTCATGCTAGCTAAGGAGGAGGCGGGACGCGTGAGGCAGCGAAGCGCTGCCTCCTCGCAACCCAGCCATCGCGAACCAGCGCGCCTCAAAGAGCCATCAGACCACCACAGATGGGGCCCAATACGGCCGATGCCGATTCGGAGTCGCGGAGAACCTAACGGGTAACCGGGGCTCCGGCTCGACGTGCAGGAGAAGGAACGGGGTGGTTTTTAGTCAGTAAGAGTCTGACACTCCCTCCCGCCTCACCCAGGCGGGAGCAGTCATTCGATGATTTTCGCCCCAAAAAAAAAAAAAAAAGGGCTTCCAATTATCTGTGAATTTTTCTACACGGATAGTATAGATATCAATGTTATACAGTCCGGATTATCTGGATAATACGGATATTTATTTAAAAAAGTATTATAGATGAAACTAGTAAGCTATCTTATAGGTATTAAATGTAAAAAATAATACTAATCCAAAATTAGATCTTACATTTATAGCATACTGAGCAATAAACTGATCTGATCAAATCAGTTAATAGTATGAATTGAGTTGATCAATATCAGCTAGTATAAGGGGCAGTAACTTTGATGAATGCTCGGCTAGGCTTGGAATTTCTTACTGTTCTAGCGAAATCGAATAAAAAATGAGGGGATTCGCAAACGGACAAAAGTCGCTGACATACCCCAATGGATCAGCAAGCTGGAGTAGCAGTGGTCAAGGCACATAGGAGAACCGACGGCTGCTAGGGCAGAAAAATGTTCTCGAGTGCAGGCCACGGACTGGCAAGCGTAGTGTAGAGCCACCCATCAACTCACAAGGTGGAAATGGAGAACGTAATAACAACCATTAAAATTAGGAGTTACAGCCGTACAGCGTCTATAGCACATACTGCTCGCATTGCGCATTGCGTTCAGTGCCATTTTTTGATGAGTCGATCCAGTCAAAAAACTTATGTAACTTTTTGTACAAAGGCGACAAGCAAGTTGTTTTTTGTACATCTGGTTAAATTTATTAAATAATTTATTTCCAAAAGCGTATTTGCCAGTGCGCAAGTAGAGCAACACAATTAGCGGAGCGGCCGAGTTAAGTGGTGGCAATCAGTGCGCACTGCTTCACAATCAGTATTGCACAGACACGACGACACGACCGACATATCAACACTGCTTTAACCGTAATAATACACCGCTCTAATCAGTGCGACTACCCGACTGCTGATTCCCTACCACCCCACAAGCGGACACTATGCGCGATGACTGCTCACTGTAGTAAAGCAAGCCGCGATGACATCCTCCTTCGCCTTCGCCACAATTAGGACTGTTATTTATTTCATCAAATCAGAGTCAATTTCAGTCCACGGGTACACACAACTGTATATTACCCCATCTGTGGTACACCAAAGGCGTTACAAGTGCGTTATCGGCCTTGTGGGGATTAGGAGTTTGAGGATTGTTGGGGATTCAGGAATTGGGGAGATTGAAGAAGGGGAGGGTAATTGGGCCTCCAGTAACCTCACTCACATGACGAAACACAACGCAAGCGTTGCTTCACGTCGGTTGAATGTGCATTACATGTGTTTCACTATTGCAACTGTATTTTGTCAAAAAAATTACAGACTTATGTGTGACGCTGTATCACTCTCGCACACTACTCAAGCCGTCCGGACGATCGGTCGTCGCGTAGGTTTGAATAATCGAACTTTCGCGTTGTTTCCGAAAACGGGGAAATTTTGCGTCCCTGAGTTCCTTTCGAGGATCACGGGACTTGTATTTATAAACAGGGACAGTCCCGTTCAAAACAGGACTTCTAGACATGTTAGCCATGGCAAAACCCTAATATTGGTGCCAGAAAAAGCACATTTTCATACTTAGATTATGGACGAGCATTGCTTAGCATAAATATTATACCATTGCCTACTTTTTGTGAATATGGAATGCCATGAGATCAGATAACTCGCTTGACGTAATTCCTAGATGTTACAGAATCTTCATTCAAATATGCAGGTTCTCTTTAGTCTACTAAGCGAATTTCACTCAGACTATAACATTTGGACCCCTGTAACAGTCGTATACATATATGCAAAGATCTAAAAATAGTTCATATTGTTTTTCCACACTTGTATCTGTAAATTTAAATAAATAAAAAAATAATGTGAAACTTGTCCGTCCTTTCATTTGAGAAGAGTAGAGTGCTCCATTATTCCTAATTCGTGCTGCATGATGAGCTCTGGTCAGTTTGGGGAAAAAAAACTTAACATGGAACGTTGAGCATTTTCCTAGAATAGATTGAGATTGGTTTCAGAACACTCACAAAAGCAACATTCACCGATAACTCTAACAATCACACCATGAACTCGAATCATAAATTTCTTCAGTTCACGTTGTTTTGAGCAATTCACTATTTCTGCTTACCTACTTAAAGTTCGCATAAGATTCAGTTTGAAACATTAGCATTTTTTTAGAACTAACCATCAGCTGTTGAGTTACTCGAACACAAATAATACCTATATGAAATTTACGATAACCCTTATTTTGTTGTTTCGGGAAGTATATTTAGAAGTTCCGTTGAAGACAAAAATAATGCACAATTATTTTTTTCAAGCTGGTTCTTACCTTTAAAGTGCTAATAAAATGTAATAAAGACAATGGAAACTAGGTGTATGTATGTTATTAACATGGCATAAGTGGCGTGTGACGTCACGCAGGTGTAGTGATAACACGCGATAAGCACGGCTCTCGCTCGCGCAGCCTGCTGCCGCAAGTAGGCCGATGTAATCACCGCCGCGGCCCGCTACGTCAACACGCGGAAACAACAAACGGCCACAAACCGGTATAGTTAGTCATTTGTACATTAATCACTTACATAAGAAACAAATATGGCGCCCATTTGCCACTTTACATCAATAAAGTCCAAGTCAGTCTTGTTTAGTTAGCTCCATACTACTATGTAGCGTATTTGAGGGACGCGCTCTACACTTCATCAACTATTTCAGTTGAGATAGAGCCTTTCTAGCAAGGGAGTAAAATGAACTCATGTGCCATGTATAATTTATATTTGAGCGCGGAGCCTCATTTTTGGTGTACCTTAAA